GTATTTTATTTTAGCTTTAATGTAATAAAAAAAATCGAGTTTTTCTTCTCTCTACTCTTGCTTTTCATTGTCCCCAACCATTTAGGATTTTTTATTGCTTATGCGATACTTTCTTTACGTACATTACTTACTGTAAGTCTTACTGTATGCAAGAATGATTGAAAGTTAACAAAGTAAAATGAGAGAAAATAAAAGAATGTTGCTGCGGATGCCCTGATAACGATAAGAGTGACTGCAAATGTTACGATACATACTTTACAACATTACAGAGGAGGAGTATGCGAGTCTCATATTTTTTTAGGGCTTCCCGCACATTTTTTTTATGATATAAGCTTCTCCATCATTGTTCATCATTTTCTTTTACAAATTTTCTTGAATGACATGAGCAATGAAGGAAATTGTTAAATTTTATAGTCCCTGTATGCTTCCAAAATGAATACTCTACAGTATTTTTTTTACGATTCATGATGGATACGAGGAGAAATTTCATTTGAAATTCTTCCAGTTCTTTTGTTCAGCTTTGGATTCGGGTTGTACTTCAATATCAAAGAAAAGCATTTTTCAATCTACAAGAGAAATGTAGGCACTCTTAATGAAGCACAGCATTTGCATTTCGATCTATGATTTGTTTGATGCAAACATCAAATAAAACTCGAGCAAATATTCAATATATTGCATCATAAGAAAATTCCGTGACTTTCATGAGCAATAAAGAGTTTAGATTGTTATTTGCTTGGTGGCTTGGCATATAAATGCGACTGATCAAAAGATTGATAGTTTTATTTGATTTTATTTTTTTAAGATTGATGATTTATTTGCTTTGATTTGTGTTTAAATTGGAACTGATTCTCTTTGGTTTGATAATAAAGCTGGGTTTATGTTTCATTGAAGTTTCCAAACTGCTCTTTTCTTTCTAAGCAGTAAGCACTTTCTAAAGTCTATAAAATTCACAGAATTACACCGCATTGAAAATCCATAACAAGAACTGTGGTTACATGCTCTCAATATTATTCTGAATACTTTAATTCTATTAAGTTCCTGTCTCTATATCCTCAAATTGCTTCTGTTCCAAACCACTATGGGTTCATTTTGATTCTCGTCTGTTGTACAATAAAAACCTCAAAAGCTTTTCATGAAACAATTTTCTTAAATTTTTGCCTAAAATTATCAAAATAAAATTTAAACAAAGAATAATCAATAAACTGAGAGTCCTCAGCATAAGTGCTGATATGAAATCTTTTATTTAATCAATAATTTACACAGCTTGGAACTTTAATTTCATTAATTTTTTAAAGACCATAATTTTCACAGACGCATGCAGAAAAAAAAATCCAACGATCATTATTCACACAAAAGGCAGAAATTCTCCGTGTAGAAATTTAAGTGAGGGGAAGCTTGATGTTCTTTCTGGTTTAATCGTGCGAAGCAACTTTTCGTCTTGAATAAACATATTTTGCCTAAGCATACATTATGTATACAAACATATATATATGTAGACTAATGCTTCTGTTGGAAGGAGAACATAAGACATAAAGCAGTGCCAAGACTGCATGGAATGGGAGCAATTCATATATGTGAAAGATCTCAAGTTCCCCTATCATTTTTCCACTTACTTTACTTTACTTACATTTAGTGTATATGTGTCGACAGAGGGACGTAAAAAACTATAATACAGATCTAAAATTATTACTTTTTTTGTGGTCATAAATTTGCGTTATTTACTTACTCTTTTCTCTTTATATACCATGCCTTAGTATTGAAAGGATTCATGCCTAAAAATTTACATTGCGTAGACCAATTCGAAAAAAATAATATTTTTATGAATTTCAGCCATTTATTGCTGAGTTAGCGTTTTTACTTCCTCTATTCTTAGTGAGAAATATTTATTTATGTCCTAAGTAGTTTACTATCTCCATTTCCTATTCTGCTAGTAAGTGCTACTCAATATGCAAGTGAAAAATTGATAGGAAAAAAATTTTGCTATTATCTTCACAAAAAAAAAGTTCCATTATTTTCGTTTGAGTAAGGTCCACATGAGATATGAGGTGCTTTCATGGCAATAAAAAAAGGAGGCAAAAGAGAATATAATTCTATGGATGTTGATGATTGATTGGAAATGAATAAAAATAAAATGTTCTCTAAGGATTCTTTTTTTTCGGGTATTTTTTGTGTGCGTATGTACATAATATTGGTGATCTTACAGAAAACATCTTTTTGTTGAAGTGGCTTGTTTTATGCAAGCAAATTTGAATAGGAATTGTGAGGATATCGATAAGGTGTCTGATGAAATTTGAATAGGTTTAATCGAGAGGAAGATTTTAAAATATATTTGCAATAGATTCAGTCAATTTGATCCTAATACTATTTTGTAAGCACCTCTATTTGTAAGCACCTCTCTATCTTTGCTTAAAAGCAGGATCGCAGCTTGCTTATTCAACACATCATATGAAACCAAAGCCCAATTAGCTTTCTCTCAAGTAGCCTGAACTGCGGTTACTTAGCATAAGATGTTGGGGTTATTACATGGTTTGTTCAGAACATATGCAGCACAATGGTTGTCTTTTTCACAATTCCAAGAATCCTATTTTGTAAGCATGGTGACACGGTGGTTCATTATTGTATCGCTCAAATGAGAACTTACTTTAAAAGAAACTGATTTCTCTGTCAATTCGTAGCTTTTCACAAGCATGGTCTTATAAACCGAATCGCATTAGCCTTATATAGTGCTAAGGAGACAAGAACAAATACAATAAAGGCTTCAAATATGAAAAATTCATCAGTTTTCAGGATGTTAAAAAAACAAAATTTAATATTTTTCAAATTTTCATCATTAGATCAATTAGAAACAATTCAAAGCACTTCCTTAAAACGTTTTGATTCCAAAACTACAATTACAGACTTAGAATCTATAAAGGACAATAAAGGAATTGCACTTCATAAAATTGCACTCATCAAAAGTCTCTTCTTACCTTCCATGCCATCATCAAATGAACTTATCAAGAGAATCTTCATCTTCTATACTCATCATAACATGTCCACAAGCAATTCAACTGATTGTCTTTTTTACTAACTCTTCAATAACCCACATAAATGCGCCCACATCTCATTTAATAAAATAATAACTCTTCATCTTGTTTCACTTTACTTATTGCTGATGTTTGGGTCTATCACATGCCATACATACCAACAACTCTAGACACAGATGTGACATGTTGGGGTGAATGGAGATTCTAACATATGCTGATATGCTGAAGAAATAAAGCATGGGGACAAGAAATGCAGAGAAAGCAATAGATGATGAAAAAAAAATGATGAAAAAAGGGATTCGGTTGTGAATGTCATGCTTTTTTTGGTTATCTCTTGCTGCTGATTTAATTCACAGACAGCGACAAAAATAAATCAGAATATGAATGTAGAAGATTAGGAATATGGTGAAGAAAGGACGTTTTTTGATGCTTTTTTATGGTTTTTCATTTTCAATTTTTCTCATCCTTTGGGGCTTAAAGAATATTGTTCATTTTTTTGAGAGCATCAATCTCGTGTACAATAAGTATAAAAGTGAAAAGAACTTTTCCATTCTTCACTTGCTTTTGAAAAAAATGTGAATTTGTTGGATCATTTTTTTTAAATATAGATTGAGGAAGTAAAGGTGAAGGTAAGGAAACGTGAAATATTTGCTGTGAGTGTTGTAATTTTAAATTCTGATTCTTGCTTAATTTAATGTTTGTAAATTCATATCCGGCACAACACTGTTTTGGTGAAATAATTGCGTGAGAAGTTTCAATAAAATGAAATCAGACCAATTTTCGCCATTATCTCTTAAATAATCTGGTGATTTCATTAATGGATCTCATCATCTTTTTGATTTACTGTACTTACTGGTAATGACTGTTTCGACAGTCTAAACTTTAATTTTTTTTGAATTTAAAGGAATCCAACACATTCTAATCAACCAAAAACAGTTAATGTTAAAATATAACTTAATTAACATCTTCGCTCATTAATTAATATATGAAATTTCAAGAACGTTCTCATTAGACAAGATGATAAAAAATTAGTATCAAGTTGACAGTGTATTCTTGCAGATTAAATTGATGACTTTATATTCTTGTTAATTTAAGAACGAAAGATTATTCTTGTGGCTTCAATTTTGCTTTAATGATATTTTATAAATTGTTTTTAAACCCTTTTTTTCAATTTATCGAAGAAAAATGAACAAAATATTCTGAGAAATCTTTTATCAACTTTATACCACATTATTTTAATTCCTGCATCAATAATTGAACGACCTATGCTAATTAAATCCGATATAAAATTCTTAAAAATTTAATTCAAATTCAAATTTAAAAAATGGATATTCATCAACAATGTTCATCAATAATGTTTATATGCAAATGGAACTAATTTAGAATTCTAGGAAATAAAACTCTCTCTTCATTAACATATTCACATTTAGTTCCCAATAAAATCAGTAAATTCCCAGTCATTTGATTAAAATCTTCTTATCGATTTCAGTAGGTGCGCAATGAATATTTTAACTATAGCTTACTATCCTAATTTCATCTGGTATAGTTGTAGGCTGTTTTAAAATGTACGCTCAATAGTTTTCAACTTCATTGGAATTTCATTCAGTAATAAATTAAATTAAGTTTCAAGAGAACTACTAAATAAAACTTTCATTTCAATTTGTAAAGTTATCTCGTCAATGGATGACGTAATATTGGTTTTTGATTGGATTTAAATTCTTGGGTATATTTAAAGTCGATTTAGAAGAACTAGCCAAAGTTAGTGATTCAAATTTTCATAGCAACAGGATTCATTGCTTTTAGTATTTTTGGTACTCAAAACCAATCCCTGAAATAAGATCAACGTCACTTCTCCCCTTGTTAAACCTTTGACAAGCTTCAAAACTTTAAGCTATCCCCAAAATCATCATCACGTTCAGAAAATTAATCATTTTTTCTTGAACTTTTTATAAAACAATCCAACAACAAAAATAATTCAGTAACAAAATGAAAAATAAATAAATTATTTATTAGACAAATTAGAGTATCATTAAAAAATTCTCAACAATATGACACAAGTCGCAAGAATCATCCATCATTTTAAAAAAATTTTCTATCCATATTTACATGAAGAATATCAAAAAATGATTTTCAAAAATTATGGCTAATTATGGCGACAACAAGAATAGACACAATTGATAATAATCCCTTTTGTGCTGATGATGATCCACTTGTGCATGGCCATTCTCCGTCTGACGGCTCGCTAAAATGATAATTTCTTTGATAATAAATCACCCAACAACAGTTTGTCATAAAAGACAATGTTAATGTATAACCAAGTCACTTAATACTTTTTTAAACGCATGAATATCAATTCTGTTGTCTATAAAAAGTGCTCTGTGTGTCATATGATGAAAAATGATTGTGCAAAATCCATAGCAATAACCTTCACCTTGATCTTAATTAAATTGTTATATGTTAGCTGTGTGATTTGCTTACAACGTAATTTATGTACTTTTTTACTTTATTCATTTAATGCTGTTTAGCTATAAAAGGGAATTAAATTTAATAGTTTTCAGGGGTGATAATTGATAGGAATTTTATAGCATGATGTTACGTCGTGTGAGGTGCTGTAATGTCGTGTTAAAAAATTTTGTTCCTTTCATAAATGTTTCTTACAAAAGTAAGATGTTGAAAAATGCGTAGAATACAAAGGAAAGGAGGGTAATAGAAATTGACAGACGGCATCCAGCAATAGAAGTAGCTTAAGATGCAATTTTAAAAAGGATCACAATTGATCTGTACAATCATCTAGGCTATGGATTACATGAATGTAGTATTGCTTCAGAATTGAAAATTCAGGAAGATGAATAAGATGGTTGGTCATTATTTGTCTTTTTATTTGAAACTTTGATCGCTATTTCTAGTATCCTGTCGCTTCTGTCACTACTGGATACATTATAACCATAACTTAAACTACTCGACAGCATATGAATCTACCTCACTTATCTGCACATCATCACTGCTACAATAATATCAATTCCTATTCAATCACCATCTCTAATTCACAAACAATACACAATTATACACCAAATATTTTCAAACGTCAAATGAACACATGACAATTAAGATTTTTTTTATTTTTTCTTCTCTCGAGAACCAAACACAAAACTTACAAAAAAGACACTTTCATATGAAAATTGAAAATACAATCAACAAAGCAAAATGAGAAAGAAAGTGATTAGCAATTAGAAAAAATCAAGAGAAAATATTTACAAGATTCCAACGATTCCACATGCAACACGTCCACCAGCATTGCCAGTTTTGTGTGAATCTGGATGGTCAGTGAGTCCAAGGTCGTCTTCATCATTATGAACGACAACAGCACGACCAATAATACTACGAGCACCATAAAGTGTTATGAGATTATCAGAGAATGATGTCGAGACGCGTCCATTCTCATCAGCAATCACATTTCCTAAATCACCTACGTGACGAATTTGTGCTTCACGTGCACCATGCTTCAAACGATCTGGATTATAATGACTTCCAGTGCTCCTATATGTGTCAATAACAGAGAGAGAGAGAGGATTATTGTTATAAGAATATTGAGCTTTTTTGGTTTATATACTTACGCGCATCCACCTGATAAGTCACCTCTGTAAGAATTTCAATAACGAGTAATTTTAGTTTATCATAAACACAGCATATTGAATGACCACTTACTTTTCATGGATATGGAAACCGTGTTTGCCTGGTGAAAGTCCATTAAGTTCTACTTGAACGAGAACAGCTTCCGTACATGATGGTTGAGAGAATGTAATGGCTATAAAATGAAATAAAATAATAACAAGTCATAAGAAGGAAGTTTGATATGTACGAGAAGCACACAGCAAAAAAAGGGTTGAAATGTTCATCTAATTTTACTGCCACTTTGAGATTTAACATGGATTATATCTAAGAGATGTTTATATTCTCTTAACACATACTCACTTCCATGGACTTTGTCGGAAAATCCAAGTACTCCAATTGCTTTTGCAGGCTTCACATCTTCACCATGAACGATAGTTGTGGAGAGACAAATTACAAAAGCGATGACTAAGGACTTCATTTTATATTTTTTTTGCTTCAATATTATTTCACTATGATGTGCTCGTCGTTATACCTCAATGTAACGATTCAAACTGATCTGGAATAGATTAGGATATTGAATTTTTTAGACTATCACTGTTTTATATCCCCACTCTAAAATAGCAATTTTTCCTTTCTCTAAAAGCTCATTGTGGGGTCTTTTTTGAATAGCTGAGAGGAAAATATCTATAAAAATAAATATAAACTAAAAGGTCGTTGTTATGCTGATGTGAGATCTTGAAACGCATTTTTATAGGTAAATAAATATTTATATTGAAAAGATATGTGTGGCATGAGAGCATTTTTTTAGTGAAAAATATGTGAACTGTTTAGAATGAGAGACTATGGGGGATATAGGAGATCCTTGATAGAATAGGAGATATCCTTGAGAAAATATTTTCAAAGATTTCAATCAAACTGTATCAAATGCAGGAAATTGATGACTGTGTAGAATTTTGGGAGAGAATTTTTATTTTGCTGAATTTTCCCAGCAATTGAATGTTTTTGAGATGATACTTGAGAAGTTTGACTTGGAGATTGATATGGCGATAAAATTAATTAAATGAAATTGTATGTATTGGAATCTTTTTAAGCAAGTTACAAATAGTTCAAGTGTTGGTTGAGAGTAAAGCTCTTAATCCAGTGCTGGGAAACGTTTTTTTGAGCCTCAACTAAAGCGAGTTCAAAATCATACCTTTTGTTTAATGTCTAGTGACTAGTGTCTAGTGACAAGTGACTAGTGTCTAACTTATCGGATGTCTATTATCTGGTGTCTTAAAAACAGTGAATACAGCTTTGCCTTGTGCCACAGCTAAACACATGATCATCAATAGCATAACAAGAATTTTTAATAAAGGAAGGATATCATGTAAATCGCAGGCTGTACTAAGAAAAGGCAAACACTCATAAATTCTTAAGTTCATGACTGATCATTGACCTTTCATTTGCATAGACTAAGTTGCTTAATAATTCATGAATTTGTAAACCTCATAATCTAGCCTTAAGCGAGTACATTAACGTAAAGACAAACAGAGACGATGTTTTAATTTTTCTCGTTTTTCTTTTAAAAAAATCCTCTTTTTCATTCCATGACCTTCTCGTCTGCATCAAAGTAGCTTTATGAGAAGCTTCGAAATATTTCATTCAAATAAAATCTTTTCAAAAGCTCTGAAATTCATCTCAATTTATATTACACATGCATGCATTAATCCTATAACGGATATCCATATCAAATAAAGTAACCTCATAAGTAACAGTTTTTCGACCTTATTCAAACAAAGTCTCTATTATAAAGACCTCAAACACAACATCTCATATGTTAGTATAAAAAAATTGCTCATTCATTTACTAAATTGAACATTTTTATTGCAACATTTGTTACATTAAGCATATCGAGCATTATGTAGATTGATAGACACACGCATGTAATTTGTAAATCGCAATGAAAACAAACATTTGATATTTAAGTTGATATTTATTAATAATTCATTTTCTTTACTCAATGAATCGATGCTTGTTGGTTATGTCATGTACATAAATTGCCCTTCCCAAGACTCTTTCTCTTGCCTATCCTATTACTTTTTCTTCTTCTTTTCATTCTCAGTTACTTACTTCATGATCTCAGTGTTCAATGTAAACACTTGAGAGCAAAAAAAAAGAGAGGAATGTCGAGCAAAGAAAGATGTAAGCATAGAGAATAAATAATAAAAGCAACTTGTGCGTTGAATGGCACTTGATGTAGAATAAATCGGAGTGAATAAGATTGTTTACACAAAGTATCGATTGACAGAATGAATAAGTCAATGCAAAGATTTGCTCCTGCTGTTGCTCGTAAAATGAATAGAAAGAAAACAATATTTTGTCATGTGCTTTGATTATTTTTTGATGAGATTTAAAAGAAATCTCGGTGTTAAGCTACTTAATTAATATTTCAACAAACTTCTCTTTTTGGTTCACAAAAAATTGAAAACTTGTTTTGGGAATGTTTTGGTAAATAAATTACAAAAACACAGATAATAATAAAGTCATACTAAATGCAGAAGTAGCTTTGCTTAATGGCAAAGTTAAGGGATAGCCCAGGGCGAATCTTGTAGAAATGAACTTCAAAATGACTTTAAGAGAGTGTCAGATTCCATATAAATTTGCTCCAAGCGCTTAAAACTCTAACTGCACCCCTGGCTTTGCTTTTAATCTTTTACTAGTGACATTCTTTTTAGAAACAATAACCAGTTTTGCTTTGTTTGGATTTATCATTTAAAGACGTAAATAAGACATAACCTCTACAATTTTCATGGCATTAACCATTATAGAAGCAAATGTGTGTCTTTGAAATTATTTATGATTTTACGTTAATAAGATTTTGTATTCAAATTTTTAGCACATTTAATGTTTGGTGCATCTTCAACTTAATTAATTATGGTAGATTTTCATAAAATAATTAAAGCTACTTGTAAATCCTATTGTCGCTTAGTAATTTAACAAACCTATTTCAAAATATTTTTATAAAAAGTTCCAAAGCAACACAATTTGAGTTCCAGATGGTTATTTTCACTTTTGTCAAACCTTTAAACGAAATGAAATATCAAAACCTCAAGTAACATGATAAAACAAGATTAACAACCTTACTGATGATTCACATCAAAACCAGTCTAATTGACTCTAATTTTTGGAAATTCCCATAAACAAATTAACATTTATAAAAAGTAATTCTCGTTTAATATGTCTCGAACATTCGATAAATAAGCCAACAAACATTGTTTTTATTTAAGTAAGTTTCACGTGACGATAACCGGTTGAAAAACATGTGAAATAAGCAATTGATTTGGAGTAAAAATTGTTATTGCGTTTTAATGAAATTATTGTCATTAAAAAGTGTTTAGCTATAGTATTTTCCTGAAGGTTATTGTAAAAATAATGTCAATCTGATTTTTCGATGAAAGACAAGCTAAGCGAGGTAAAAGTTGTGGTTTTTGAAGTCAAATTGAAAATTTGGCGCACTTTTGTATGGAATTCCAATCATAATCAGATAGGATTTTACACGAATTTCATATAAAACTTTGCAATCCTACCACAAAATACTAAAATTGAAGATTCAGTCTTGTTGCTTCGCTGTTAAATCGGTAAAACCAAATCCATTAAAAATTGAAAGAATCTTTGATATTTTGGTCGAATTCTGAGTAAACAACTTCATATATGCTTACAATTTAAAATAACTCCGACTTTAAAATACCTTAATCTGGTTAAATCACATCAAATTCAAGCCAAATCCCACACATCAAGAAACTTTTTATCCCTAATTTATTTGCAATAAATCTTTCACATTTCACTCAATCACAATGTTCGCAATCCTTGAGGCAGGTCGTAAATAAAATAAAAGTGAATAAAGCAGAGAAAAAAAAACACAATCAACACATTGCGTAGAAATTATTTTTTTGCCAGACTCGAATGAAGCCTTATGAGCATACTTAAGTATTCTCAGTATTCTACAAATTCTCATTTCAAACACACACAATTAATCATTAATTAAAATCTTCTTAATGAACTTTTTTTTCATTTTCTTCGAGCAAGAAGATTTGCTGAATGCCACAAGCTGTTGTTGCCATTTTTTTCTTCTCCACACTTTAATAATGGAAGTAGTTACTTTTCCGCAACATTTGTATGGAATAGTTATTTTGTATGTAGGTCACGGATTCAATTTATCATTTCACCACCTGACTGCAAAAAGTTTAAGGGTAAAGGAAATACCGCATTTATAAATTTCTGACTTCTTACTTGACTTCTTCACACTATCTATAGATACATGTGCTCACACACATAAAAAGTCATCCTTTTGCCATTACGAAAAAAAATACTTCTCTTTTGGAACCGTTTGTTGCTTTCGGATGTAATGAGCAAGAAAGGATAGATTTATAGCAAATCGATTTTCATTTTACTTCGAAAATGAGAGTGGATTTATTTTCATGTAACACAATTGGATTTTTAACGTGTCAACCTCAATCGAACCGTAAGAAGAATTTTTCAACTTTTACTTCTTCTTCTTTCGAAAAAAAAGGTAAAGAAATTTACTTGATTGGAGTCTATTATGCTCTCGAGAGTATATGCTGTGAATTGATATTTTATTGGATTTTAAAAAAGAGAGTCTGTATTTAAGCATTCACTTGGGGTTGGATGCTTCTTTTAATAAAATATTCAACAATTTGAAATTAGGTATTGAGGATTAATGAAGAGTAACTTAAGAGTTTGATTCTTGTCAATTGATTTGTGTTTTGAAATTTTTAAAGTTACTAAAATAAACTCCATCTATCAAATGATGTTTAATCTCGAAGTTTTCCAAAATAAAGTATACTCGACAACTTTGAATGCAGCAAAAAACCGGTCTACAAATTATTGACCTCTTGATTGTAAAGCAACCACAAAACACTTAAGCATGTTCAGTATGAAAAATAATATTTTTTAATGCATTTTAAGTTTTTTAAAATAAAACCTGTCTAGCCAAGTTGTCGGCAAAACCAGACAGCAATTAAGCATTAAGATTCAATTTTCGCCGTTTTTTAAAACTTACAAAAATTTATATTTTGTAACAAAAAATTAATTCGACTTAAAATATCCTCAAGTTGACTTCTAGCTTTGCAAATTTATTTTATGGCAACTTCTCTCATTTCTCCAAGGCTTGGAGAAGTGAGGCTTCTCAATCTGTTAAAAATTCATTTTTTTTATTATGTTGCCTTTAAAATATAATACCCGAATACTACAAGCTGGGTAGTAGGCATGATGCTAAGTTCGATTTAAATTCAGCACTGTGTCAAAGTTATGCCGGCTTGGTGCAGGATTTCTATTCAATTACCCGATTTGTGCTATTCGGCATTAAAATGTGCAATCGCCTAAAAAGTTTCAAGCTAAATTAACAGCATGCGTCTAAATATTCGATTTTCTCGCGTAACGTATCAAGTTATCATTCCCCAATGTTAATTATCAACTGAAGTTGTGACGATTGCCTTCGAGAACATTCTATGGAAACAGCACTTAATTAAATATTCGTCATGGTGCCACCCGTTCGTTAATTACTTGTCGTTTGAGATATTTTTGCAAAAAAAAAATCATGCTGATAATTTGCGCTTAATGTGATAACATTTGCCTTTTAATGACAACCCACAGGGATGTATTCAGATGCATGAATATTACACAGCTTGTTAAAGACAAAAAAAATTCAAAACCTATTTGTAGATACGTCCTTGACCTGACGCAATCCACAATTCATCAAAAAAATTCAAAACAGAACCATCGTGCAAGCTTCTGCATAACAAACTCGATAAATTTCTTTTATCCTAATTCAATTTATTGCCATAACAAAATTCCTTTACTACCTTTTCAAGCGAAATATGAACACAAAAAAAAATCTCAAAGAGATAACAAAAATAAAGCCACTCAGCACACGTTTGAAAATGAGCTTATTAAACCATAATTATATTTACTTCTACTCACTCTAAATGCTGCCACTTAACTAAACTGCTACGAAAAAAATGTTGTTGATATACAAAAAAAAAGTGGCAGGCACTAAAAGAACTTTATTTTGTGTAATGTGAGAATAAATGCTTTGAGCGTAGACAGAAAAAATAACAAGAAATGAGCAGCAACCACTTTAGGAACGTGTGCAAATTTTATTTCTCATTTGTTGAGTTTTGTTTTTTTTACTTCTTGGCTCCACGGATAGGTGGAAAAAGCACAGAAGGGAAAGTTATATTTACATGCTTTTTAATTAAAATTTTTCCAGCTAATTGCTGATCTCAGCACTTTTCATATTGTTGTCCAGATAAGTTATAATCGAGTTATACGAAGTTTATTTAACTTTACTCGGTTCTCTCAGGTTTTAATCTCAAGTGTGAGTTACTGTTTATATTCTCTGAGAACTTAGAGTGCACGATGAACTTGAAAATGTAAATAATGTAGCATTAAAGCTACATTGTTTATGTTTTTTGCTGTTATCTTATCAAGCTTGATGTTATGTAATTTATTTGAAGTGAATTTTTTCAGGTTTTATTTCAAATTTGATTTCGTAAGGCTATGTTCAGGTATTTCATTTCATTTTGTCACTTTTCAATTATTGAAGAACTAAAAAAGCAATCGAATGACTAAATCGATATTATAGATTTTCAATTTCTCGGTCTTAACAGACGTTCTTGATTCAGATCGATAAGTTATTGGGAAAATTTTTGTATGATTTTGATAAATAAGACTCAGGAGCGTGGACAAAGGCCAGTTTCTACCCTCTTTATAGTCAAATTATTTATTCAACCTAAAACGTAAATTTTTGATGCTAAATTAGGAAGCCCTAGACACCAGATTTTAGATATTTTTAGAGTTGTACGAATAATATTTGGGGATTAAAATCTTCTAGTTGAATATTTCAAATAATTAGGTGCTTTGGTCCCAGAATATTTAAATAGGCTTTATGATTTATCTAAGGAAGATTCCAAAAAGTTCAAACTCATGTCATACCATATGTCATTAAGAATGTCATTTATGGGGCAGAAACAAAAGTTTCTTACATTGATTTTTGTTGGAATCCGCAAGGGAAAAGACGCCCAAGAGCTTCAAAAGCTACTTGACTCAGAACAGTGATGAAAGAATGTCAGCTTAATGTGCGGACAGAGAAATTGTATTAACTAGGTAGCAAAGCCAGCAGCAGAGTCAGATGTAAGGCATTTTGTTGTTATCTAAGCTCCAAATAAGTAAGTCATACCATATCTAGGTGCATGAAGATAAGCTAGAAGCAGCAAATGCTCTCAATCTAAGTTATTTTCAACAAATGTTATCTCATTAGTGAATTCATTCTTATCTACAAACTGCTTCCAATTATTTCTTTAATAGATAATTATAACGCAATAAGCATTATGTTTAAAATTCTACAATGCTTCGTTCTTTCTCTCTCGAGTACATAAATATAATAAAAATGTCACCGATATTGCGAACACTTGTAGGTGTTAACTTTGAACAGAATAAAAAGCATTTTATAGAAAATAATTTGATAGTTCAGTGCAAACATTAACGATCGTAGTATCATAGCTGAATGTAGAAATAATAGTATCATAATGGAATAGTATTATAGTGTGTCGTTTTAAAGTAACGACGAACAAGAATTGTTGTTAGTTTTTATGCATAAGGGATGTTAAAAATTATAGAACCAATTTAGAAAGAATGTGAAAATTTTATTGAGATGGAATTACAGCAAATGGGAGGAAAGGGGAGGTCGATCTAGATTATTTTTGTGCTGAATATAAGTTTTTAATGGAATTTGAAATCATTTTAGATTGAATATTCTTAGTTTTTGATGATATGCTGTTAACCTCAATTTCCATGAGAACATCGAATGCTTAAATGCTCAACTTTAATACTTTAAGACTTATTTCTTACAGAGTTCCGCTTTAAAATGTCAATTCTTAATTTTCCCTCATCAACATTCTCTTACTTCCTTGACACCTGTCAATAACTCAATGAAATTCCAAAATAATCCCAAAAACTTGCTTCCTGCTATGCTACATGCAGAGACTTATGTAAAATTTCACATTATTATTAAAAATTCACAAGATTGAATTTTAAATTCTATTCTTAATTATTCATGAAAGCAGCAACATTAATACCTTGAAATTTTTAACCCTTTGAGACTTTAATGATATGAGTATTAACCTTCAAAGACTCTTCAATGAATATTTGAGTCTTTAAGTCTTCATTTTCTTCACATTATAAGCTGAGAGTCTCCAAATGGTGTCATAAATATTCCATATGCTCCACCTGAATGTTTTTATGTAAAAGTGAAAGTTTTTATCATAAAACTTAACCTTATGGGCGAATTTTGAAGACATCATGCATAGTATTACAAGTTTATCTCTTTACATATTGTAAATAAATTGCTTTTAAATTAGGTGCAGGCATCACTTGATTGCTTCCACAAATTGCCTGTAATTTTAGTCTTAATGGGTGGCAATTTTTCAATAAATCAATTTCAGGATTATATATTTTAGGGAGGATTGTAATAATGCTTTTTTGGGGAAGATATAGATTATTTTTGGGATATTGAGACGTCAGCAAAGCTGAGAAGGTTTGTAAAAATTAAAAATCAGACGAGTAGTAAAAAATTGTCGTGACTGGCATTGATTATAAAGTTACGATTGTCTCGCCGAACTTGTGTTTGAAGTGCTATAAAAGATTTCAACACAATAGTATGATTATTTTTCTATTATTTTCGTGACAATATCTTACAAAAAGTACACGATGTAAAAGCTATTCAGGGGTGTAATCAGAACTATTTAAGTGGGTGGGGGGGTTGGTTTTTTAGAAAGGGGGAAACCTTTAAAATCAAACTCCGCTTACCCCGTACCCTTCACTACTGGCTACACTCCCCAAATTGAAATTTCCTACAACAAACCTGATTTGAAATATTTAAAGCACGTTTTCAATCAAATCTGATAATTCATATTTCATGAACAAAATACAACCTTGAACAGTGCTTATTGCAATGTCAGTGAAGACTCATCACAACATGAGAATTTAATTTCATTCAAATATAGTTTTTCCACGCGATAAACTTTACAGAAATTGAGGAGGGAAACATCGTCATGCCGAGTTGTGATGATTCAGCTCTTAATGTTGAAAATTCTATGGAAAAATTTCCTCCATAAGCGAAAATAAGGCATGTCTGGGGATTAATAAAAAATGAATTATTTTAAAAACATCTAATCGCTTGTAAAAAATCACTTTGTGAGCATCTTATCAAAATTAGAAATTCTCGTTATCACCTACGCGTTTTTACTCACGAATCGCAACTTTTCACAAGGCTGATAAAATTGAGTCAATAGCTTTTCACTCAGAGACCATCTAAAAATACATCTAATTATCGCGAATATCACGGAGGAGTGATAAAAATTCAGAGCGACGAGAGAGTGAGTGAGAATCATGATTTCAATTTTCACCGCTCATTGACATGATAAAAAGCGACTTTTAAAGATGGTAGGTGTATGTGTGCATGATGATAATAACGATGATTCCCCACCGAGAGAATTTTTTTCTGTTGTCTGCTCTCATTCAATTCATTCTCAATGCTTTTTCGAGTGAAAAAAGCAGCAATACTTAAATTAACAGAAAAAAGTGTTTAGTAGCAAATTTATGTTGAGAATTATAAGCGCGGTTTTTGCTTGGCGGGAAAATTGATGAATTGTTAAATTTTAAATAACAGTAAAATCAATAAGATGCTTGCTATCTGTTTAGTCAAATAGGTTTTTTGTCAATGATCAATGCATCTTGGTCAACGAATGTCTATAACGCAAAATATTTTAAAAATCCTAAATACAAATTTTTTTACAACTTATCAAGAACATCGATTAGTTCCCAAAAATGAAGAAATAAAGGGTTTTGTAAATAAAAAACATTAAGAAGCAAAAACATTTGTAAATCCAGTGTTAATGTTTGTTTTGAATTGTTTGTATTTCTTAAAAACACTCATTTACATACTAAGGCGCGATTATCTCTTAATGAGAAGTGTTGTTCCAAGTTGTAATACTTGAAGAGATTCTTGTCATATCGACATGAATATAAAGAGTGGGAATTGAACCCTTACTTTCAACAAAGAGGTACAGATCCCTAATTACTTGGTCACAAAGGTCTTATTCTTGAACTGACTCATTTGCTTACACATGTCTTGGTGTTTAAAATTCAGGAGCACGCTTTTGTTTAGGAATTGTTTTAGAACAAGCATAAGATAGATTATCTAAAGAAGTTTATAAGTTCGAAACAAAACGCTTCATTAGATTTCGAATCATCAGTGTTCTGTTCCTTAATAAAATTGTAGTTGAACACTTTTAAAAGCTTTTGACTTATATAATGCATTTAATCAACTTATTGGACTCCTTCCTTTCTCTATTATCACAAAATTAGACCCCCTGTCTTCCCAGTGCCACCAACTAGAGAATTACACATGAACCAAGCCAAAATTCATTGTTGTCATTCAACATCTTTTTTTTCACTCAATTCAATTTTCTCTCTCCACAAATTCAAGCATCCTCGATGTCATACTTCAATTTTGAAATCATTCTCAAAGCGATTCCATCACTTACTCATATCTAAAAAATTCTCGCTTAAAAAAATTAATGGCATTAAGCAAAACGTAGAGAATGAGCACTAAAAGCACTTAATAACAATAATGTTGATGATGATAATAATAATCATCTTAAAAACGTATAGCGATGCTCATTTGAGTTGTACATGGCAACAACGGTAATTAATAAGACAACTTAGAACGGAGATAATTTTCATTTTTCCTCCTTTTTCGTTCAGAATTTCCTCGCTAGCAATTTTTGCAGTTTTAATTTTTATTTAGGCTCATTATTAAATGTGTGTGCGTTCGCATAATTGTCATCATTAAGCAAAACGTGATTTTAAGTTTAATTAATGGGAAAAAATGCTCCATCACAAACCTAATATGTAGCTACAGCACGTCTCGATGATGTCTCAAAAGATTTGTCGCTTTATCTTCTCACACAACCGAAATAATATGGACAGACGGTGAAAGAAATTAAATTTTCTTCTTTTGCTCAACTAGTTGCATC